TTAAAAAAAAAGTGAAAGATTAGAAATAAATGTCCAATAGAAATTTAATAAATTATGCATCAAAAGTAATAAAGGATGTAGCAATATGGAAAAGTGTTTATGATTGTTAAGCGAATAAAAAAAAATGTGGATCTATAATCTAGAGTTTCTACAATTTGCTAAGAGATACAAAGATAAAAGACCTAGTCCCCACCCTTATCAGCTTTAGAGTTTAGAAGGAAAAACAGACAATCAAAATACAAATATGACCATGGCTATGACAGTGGCCTGTACAAGCTGTTACAGGGGTACATGGAGGGCAATTTGTCTTACACAAGTGGAAGAGAAGATACAGAGCTGAGTTTTAAAAGATGAACAAGGATTAACTAGTTGGAGGAGGAAATAGGAAGAAAATGAAAAAAAAACTCTGGGTTTAGAGAAGCACATGCATGTGCCAAGGCATGGAGAGTCTGGCACACTCACAGAATTGTGAGAAGCTCCCTACGGAGGGAAACTGGAGTGTTAAGAGAGCGGAGTAGTAATTAATGGTAAGCAGATCAGGCCAACTCAGGAAGAACATAAAGGCCATGCAAAAGCATCTAGATTTTATCCTGAAAGCAATGGGGGAATAGTGAAAAAATTTAAAGCCAGGGGGCGACATACTGAGATTTGTTTTACAATGTCCATTGTGGCCAGAAGTCACATCAGTGCTGCCTGAAGTAGAGTGTGGGGGTATTAGAGAACATTTTAGGGTGCTGGAAATTTTTTAATCTTTTGGTATATATTTGACAAAACTCAAACTGTAGGCTTAAAATGGGTGGGCTTAAAATGAGTCTGTTATTGTATATAAGATTATACCTCAAAATATAATTAAATAAATGAAATAATCACTCTGACAACAGAATGAAGAATGGATCAGAAAGGAATGTGATGGAGAGAGATGAATTAGGAGGCTTCTGCAATAATCTAGACAAGAGTTGATGAAGGCCAGAACTGAGGTTTTGAGGAAGTGGAGAACAGGCTACTGGAACAAGTTTAAAAAGATAGTGAAATCGGGGTGGGCCGAGTGGCTCAGTTGGTTAAGAGTTAGCTTAAGAGTGCGAGCGCTGAGCAACAGGGCCGCTGGTTCGATTCTCACATGGGCCAGTGATGCTGCACCTGAGCTGAGCTGTCACTGAGCTGCCAGCAGGTGGCAGGATGGCTCAACAGGCAAGAGCACATGCTCCTAACAACAAGACTGCCTGTTCGATGGTGGGCTAC